AACCTTTCGAAAGAAATAGCTTCCACCTCTAATGAAGAAAATATCCTAAGTATCCGATAAAAACCTAAAATTTCCCCTAGTTTCTAGCTTTTTGAGACTAGTACTAAGCATAGCTTTAGTTACCTTAACGCATGTATAAAGTAAGAAAATAACAATTGCGAGCCGAAAATGATAAGCCCTTAGCTGGTCAAATTATGGAAAAGTGTGATTCTCCATACGCTTCATCTATATGCCAATACATTTAGACATAATCCCTCGCATCGATGCTTCGAAGTCAGTTTTTTACATGACAACTCAAAAGAATTAAATCTGGTCATATCCAAGATGTATTCAAACGATCCATCATAGACAAAGCCGCTTTCGTTCGTCCGCAATTTTCAGATATACAAGGATGCTATTTGGAATACACAATAATGCTGCGTCTACTTTTCAGAGATTAATTGATAGATTTCGTTGCATATCTGTGTCCTATGCGATGCACAGCAACTTTTTCATTGTCTAAAATTATTTTCAAATAGGATTCAATTTTTTTTTATAATAATCAATTTAAATCACGCAATATCCTTATCTGCTATTGCGTTAAATCCAAATAAAATGTGTGCTTCTCTCAAAATGCAAACTCCATCAAGAAAACAACCAAACAACTTTCATTTGATTCTGTTAATATCATACGAACACTTACTATTTTTAACAAATACTCAAACTCTGGAATTTTTCCAGAAATGTGGAAGCTCTCTTATGTTTGTCCTATTCACAAGTCAGGCAGCAAGAATGATGTAACAAGCTACAGACTTATCCAGCATCCTGTCTGCAATTCCTAAATGATTTGAGCAGTGTGTTGAGAATATTCTTTCAAAAATATTTCATCAGATTGTGATCAGTCAACAGGATGCGTGTTTACAGCCGGTAGATCTGTTAATACGGACCTGTTTCTCTTTACAAAGTTTATAAATTCATCATTTGATAACAATGCAGAAACTCATGCAATATATACCTACTGACTTCAGTAAGGCCTTTGATAAGGTAAACCATAACATCCTTCTTTCAAAGGTATCAAGTTATGGCGTTTCTAGACCCATACTTTCATGGATGAAATCTTACTTTACTGACAGAATGCAACAAGTCAAGATCGATGACTATATTTCTCCTCTTTTCGATGCGGGAAACGTTAGCAACACGTCGAAAGAGAAAACCCAAGGTAAAATCTAAAAACCCTGAAAGAGTACAAAATCTGAGAACCCCTTCAGATTATTTATAGAATCAAAATCCCAACCCTCAAATGGTACATACATAAAATGATTGAAATTAAAGTGCAAAATTCCCTGAAACCTGTAAGTTTCCTTTTGAAAATAATTCCCCTTAATTAATTAGCCCAATAATCTCCCTTTTGAAAGTGACTAGTGAGTTTTTTACTGACAAAATGCCCCTCGTGGAGGTCAAATTCCCCTTTTTTTATTGAATTCCAAATACCTACAAAAATACTGATATGCTAATGTAAATATTGATAACGAAAAGGTAAATTCAGATTGATAAAAACGTTTAAATTCACCTGGTTACAATTCGTGCTTCTAGTTGAGCAAAACGTGCTCGCTTCTCGCACCGACAATTCAACAAAATGGCGTAGATTTTCGTCTCCAGAAAATTTTGAGTGGCTGGCTTACAAATACGGGGATTTACAACCAAATCTAAGTTTTCACCCCAAAACCAGCTAGCCAGCAACCACTTAAGTTCCCAACGGCTCGAAAATCCCACAAAAGGTGGATGTTCCAAGGAACGTTGCAAAGAGGACCGCTGGTAAAATCTGCCAAACACTTGTTGCTTGCTCAACGTGCGAATTTAAAGAGAACGACCTTATTTTCAGCAATTCACCAGGTGAGCTCATATGAAAAATTTTCCCCGAATTCAATTTTTTCTCCAAGATGCCTTCTGGTGCCAGATTTCCGGTCTTGACCAGGAAAACGAGACAATCAGCTTGAAACGAACAACCCAAACCACATCGATGACAACCAAAACTTAAAGTTGTTATCCAATTCTCTTCCCTAACACTAATTAATTAATTAATAATAATTATTTACCCGGTTTTTAATCTAAAAACTATCAAAATGACATCTCGTTCAGTGGTAGCAATTACAGTGACTCTATTACCCACAGTGGTCAAGAAGCCTCGGCAACAGCGCTGCCTGAAACGGATCAACAAGTGTCCCATAACCACACTTATTCGGCGAAATAAATAACCGAGAAAATGTAAATATTAGTGCAAATTATACTATCCAAGATGCTGTCAAACTTAAATTAAAATGTCCGCCAAGAAGCACACAAACCCTTTGTTTGCTTGTCAAAGTCTCATGTTTTGGATAGGCTAATAAGGGTGAAAAAGCGATTTAAAGGGTGTGAAAGTGATTTGTGGTCTTACAGAATTTTTAATAATGGAAAATACGAGACTCGTAAGTGTTGCCAATTGATATTTATTTGGAAGTAAACAAATATTTTCATCAACAGTTAGGGCCATTAGACAACTTTCGTGAGCTAAATAAAATAGATTTCGATCCTATTAGTAGGGCTTCATTATCCTAAAACTACCTTGTCATCTGAATACAAAGAATTAACTCAGTATTACCCCGGAAAATATACCTTTGTTCAAAACCCACATATTGTTTCGCATTCAATCAAAAAGGCAAAAAACTAGTAAAATCCAATGAGAAACCTATCAATCACCGAAAAATAATAATCCTCAGGTTTATAAAACTTCATAAATACCCTCACAAATACCTGAATTAATTACCGAATTCATTTGAAATCTCAGTTACGTACTAAGGCAAAATTTGAACGTAACAACTATCAGATCCACATCAATAGGCTTGAGAGTGCTCAACACAAATTTATCAAGTTTGCTAGGTACAAATTGTCTCTGTGGTGTGATTCTCAGCGTTGACCAGACTATGACTTACCTAGACCTAACTAATCTTGTTCGCAGAATGGAATACTCTGATGTCTGTTTTGCTTTCAATATCCTTAACTACTACATAAAAAGCCACGAATGTCTTGGATGCTTTTATATAGACACTTAAAGTTATCGGACACGAAGTAAATCTTTACTGCACATTTCTTACTGTCATACTTGGTACTTACTATTCAGTCCTGTTAATGGAATATTTGCCAATGTAAACAAGTTCTATGAGGGTCTTCACTTGTTAAGTTCATCTCAAGATAAATTCAAGACCCGGGCCAAGAAAATTGTTTTAGGTTAGATTGTTAGATTATTTAAGCTTTGTACCGAACTTCAAATGTATGTATTTTTTTAAAAGTAGATAAATAAATAAATAAATAAATAAATAAATAAATAGAATTACATTACTTCAACTGAGGAAGATGCTTTACCAGTGGTTTTGGGTTGTAGTTAACTAACAAATCTGGAATTTGAAAATGATTTGGATATCTTCTAATTTATAAAGATGGAATGAAAGAGGCTAATATGATTATATTATAGCGTTATGTCCCTTATCCTTGAATTTCTTGGAACATTGTAGAATAGATTCAAGATATAGGTATAGAACTCATCTCCTATATAGAAAACGTGTATGAAGAGCAACCAGTTCCTATCATACAATGACCATTCTAGACAAAAATATAAAAAGAGCCAGACGAACACTATCTTATCGATATAAAAGAGAAAGACTGAACAACCTTGGACGATGTAGTCCTTATAACAGACAACCCATACGAACTGAAAAATATGCTGGAAGAGTTCAAAAAAATAAGAATGAAATGATGTATAAGAAAAAAACAAAAATAGCGAAAGTTCAAAACCTGGAACTGGACCAATACACGTACAAGAAGAACTATGCACAAGTTGAAAAGCAACCAGCGACATAGAATACAAAGAATGATATTAAATTTACCAAGGCAAGACAGTAAACCATCCGAAGTGAATTATATCAAGAAGGCACCCAAAAGAACGAATGAACCCTCTGAGCTCACCCCTTCCGCTAGTCACAGCCAACATCTACTTAAAATGCTTAAAAATGGAAGCGATCAGAAGAATGCTATTTGAAATATGTACTGAACCTTAAATACCCAATTAAGGCTTACATAAAATATTAGCCAAGGAACAATCAAGAAGCAAAGTCTACCCATCTGCATATAAAAAATAACAACTCATCATTCAGCTTAGTATCCGAAGTTCATTTCGTTATTTTGAGAACATATTAAATGGAATCGATGAAAGGAAAAAAGAGTAAACCTGGACCAATAGGGCCAACGCTCAACATTCCATTTCATAAACGACCAAAGATCCTAAAAATACACATCGATCACAAAATGGCGTTAAAAATAATAATTAAGGCAATGGAAGTCCAAAACTTTTTTTTAAGAGGAAATTTACCTTTCAAATTAGAATCGCAAATTACTTGCACACTTTCAGTATACCTTCAGTCTTTCTATTTCAATGAGCATGTAATAATTGGAATGTGGGCACCATCGAGACCTGATATATTTACTCCCGGGCTCTTTTTTCCATATATATCATGCTATTACCTAGTTCGTATTTCTATTCATCCCTTATTTTTAATCACATTTTTGTCTATTGTCTATTTGTAAAAAAAATTGTTTATTTATACTCATTGAACTTTTTTTTTTCAGGTAAGAAACTCCTTTTCCACGCAGACTTTGTAATTCCTTTAGGTAAGGTATAATTTTAAGTTGAGAGTGAAATGCTTAGGCTACTGGATCATAAGGTTTTGAAAATGTATGCTTCATTTATAATGAATAATGTTAATGAAAAATAAATGATAATAGTTTTGGCACAAAATCAATTGCGTTAACACAACCGACCTACGTCTTTACAAAACGTAAAAACGTATTACTATACAGTAAAAACCTTGTGACCTTAACCTTAGTCTATTCTTAAAGCAACAAAAATAGATCGGAGAAAATTATGACAAGTTATTTTTGTGAGTTTTTTGGCATTGAATTTTTTTTTTATTTCATCAAAACTACTTACACAATTTGGGAAAGAGTTTATTAGAACGTATAATCCACAATTTTTGTTTTGTAAATGTTTATAACTTTTTTTATTTATTTATTTGATAACCGGCTAGCCATTACTACCTTATAATGTATAAATTAACAAATTGAAAACCCACTCCATATAAAATAGTTATTAGCTAGATGCATCCACCTAGAAATTATTCTTTAATTTAATGAACATTGAATATAAAACGCATAATAAACTAATAAAACTAAAACATTATACAAGGTAACCTATAATAAATCTAATCACATTTGAACAAAATAGCACACAAAATAATATTTCGAAAGCGTAACAAAAGAGATCACTTAAAATAAAAAAATATTGAGAAAAATTTAAGACACGCACTGAATCTAATTCAAATTTCGCTGATGTGGTAATAATATTTTCTTTTGTTTTTAACATAGTTTTGTAATTAAAACATAAAACTTTTTCGTGTCATAAGTAAATTAACCGCAAGTAAAAGTTTGCCTTTTGTAACACACGAATTGTAACAATAATACATCAATTTTGTGCCGGTCATGTTGTTTTACATTTTCGGTCTTTGGGACTTTTCCTCATGTTTTATTTCTTTACTGATTAATGGTAAGTCTACATGGAACTTCAATATAAAATGTACATCTGAACTTTTAATTTAAAAAAAGCTAGAGACATTTTTATGTTGGTACAAACGTGTATCGATTGAATATTTTTGATACAAAAATATTAAACGATAAATACTTAATTAATAGGTTTTTTTTTTTGATCATTGAGGATATTTTTCTGTGATATACTACGTTTTTTAGAATCAGTTGATCCCCATCTAACAAGAATAACATTATAAACCCAGTGTGGTTCTTGTGTTTTTTCAAATTGAGGGGTTGCATGAAATAGATTCAAATTTTATGAAACGAAAAAGAGGTCACAATATATGCAGTGAATGAATGTGACAATAAGCGGTTTCCTTATTAATAATTATTGTACGATGTAAGTAATCATCATGAATTTGGATAAATCAAAAATGTTCCTAGTACAGTGGTAAAAATCATCATAATTAAAAAAACTAACAATAGTTGGACTACATTATACTCTCAAGAACTTGTCAGTTGAATCGTCAGTTTACCTATTCATATACCTACTTCATTCTATATAAAAACAATGAAGGGGAAAGCACAATAGATAAAATTGGACCACCATGCCCCAGCTATACAACCACTGAAACCGATAAGCTAATTACATTTTAATTAGGGTTTCTGATGTAATAAATCTTTAGGCGAAAAAACAGATTCATTAATTATTATTTCAATTTTTAGTGTCGAACGACCTCTCAAAAGTCCTTGAGTCAATGACCTCAATTTATTACTAGACACCTATATTGTATTAGATTTCAATTCAAAGCAGAAATATACACATACAAAGATTCTTTTCGCGTATCTACTTCTAGTAATAAAAATGGACTAATAATATTAATATATCCGTGGGGTATAGTGGCCAAACTACTGGGTGCAGCAATGATGGATGACATCAATGAAATTTTACGTTTCTTCTACAAATGTCAACCAGAGTGTTGTTCAAAAGTTTAGGATTTTTAATTTTTTATTTAATAAATAATTATTGGCATCGGCAATAGAATTTCAACATATCGCTAGACCTAAATATGGTGATATAAACCCACATCCATATTATTATTTATGAGGCTTTTTCCACAACTAAGAATAACCAAAATTAAACCATCACTCCTTAATATAATTAAACATATTTTGATCCCACTAACGCGGAAATTTCTTCACGAAAATCTTCAATACATCATTCGTTGTGGATAGGGTCTCCTCTTCAATCTGGTAATTCTGAATTCAAAATTGAGACTGTTAGTGTCATCTCTGAAATGGCAGACTATTTCTCTGGATATTTTGATGCAGTTCATGCCTTTGGTGCAGAGCGAAGTGTAGACCATCTTAACTTTTTTCTCAGTGGGATGGTGAAGAATGACTTCTTGTTGGTATCTAAAATGTATTTATCATAAATTTCAAATCCCTATCAGTATTCCCCACAAATATAATACAAAATGTATAGGTTTTTTATGTTATATTCAGTATGACGACATCAGACAAGGCCAGACAATGTTGTCAATGCCTATTTTTTTTTCTTATAATTTACTAGAATATCATGTGTCAATAATTATGAAGACAGCTAAAAATAACGAAATGAAAAGCAGAAATTTACTAAATGTGACGTCATCCTAAATATAGCGTAAAAATCCTATACGATCCTTGTTTTTTTTCTGTATGTACCAGTACTAGTACCTACGACTTTTTTAATTGACAGTTATCAGTCATCAAGTATTCAGCAGATATAGTTCACATTGTAAATTAATTTCTGCTGTTTCGCACAAAAGGTGCATTGAAAAAGTTGTTAGAGGATTTGTTTCTTTATAAACCTCGAACCGTCGAAAGCACATTAAAACGGGTAGTTTTTCTGGGGCACGACAATGGGTCTTCAAAAAAAAATCAAAGATTGCTATGACATTTTAAGCGTAGGTATATCTTAGCAATATTTTTCTTTAATATAATTAATGAACTTTATTGTCAAAATGTCACGTCAAAAATCCTGACCAATAAAGGAACAATAATGCGTAGTACGTTTAAAAAAACATAGCAATCTTTTTTTTTGAAGACCCGATATTATAAACTCGGGCCCTTTTTTCGCTATTCGCTACCTTATTATCCCTATAAATTTCCCCTAATTTGTATATATTTATCCCTTTTCATATTATGAATACATTTCCTGAATATGTTACCTTTTAGCTTCTTCCGGTCTCCCAAAATATTGTGTCACAATCCAAGCGGAACCATCATTATTATTTCCTTGGACGCTCCAAAATATTTCTCCGTTAATTCTTGTTCTCCAAAAAGTATAGGAAAAAATTTTGCCAACCCTTTGCACCTTGTTGCCAAACCTCAGGTCGTAAGTATCATCTCTGGCCATTTCCTCGTCAAATTCCGACAAGAAATCCATTTTTAAGCCTTCGGATTTTTTGGGTAGAATTTTCACTAAATAGCTTGTGTAAAAAATCACGTTTTTGAGTATCACAGTCTTTTTTTTAAGTGTTTTTTTTTTCAGTCTTGATTTTTGTCTGCAACAAAATTAAATTATTAACTAAAAGGTAATAAGGATATTTCATATTTCATAAACCTAATCTGATATGACGAAATGGTAATATTTGTTTAAAAGGCGGCGTTTTCTTGACAGATGATATTCTCAATAATAAAATAATTCGTCATTTCTAAACCTTAAGGCCCGGTTTATTTATCTTCATATAAACATGCTGGTAACTATTTGCAATAGACTTCTTGCACTCAATCGAAATTAGGTATATAATTTATCTGTAACGAAAGTGTATTTTATATACTACTAGCTAATGACCCGCTGCGTTGCCAGCGTGTAAATATATTTTGAAATAATACATTTCTTTTCAAATTTTGTTGTTGATTTTCTATTTCATTTTTTTTTTTTTTATCCGATATCAGAGTCGCTTGCCAGTGAGTTCAGTGACGCATCCAGAGCTGCTCTAGAGCGCCCCGGGCTGTTTATAGGAATTCCAGTGTATCAGAGTTTTGCGCAACCGAACTTTTTTTTTCGGGATAAAAAATAGCCTATATCACTCTCCTCTATAGCCGATTCGATTGACCGGTTCGATTCAAGCTGGATCAGTGCACCCTCATCAACAAAAAAATGATCTAGATCAGAAGAAGTTCACTTAAATTGAACCCAAATCGATCTAATCTGGGTCAATCGAATTCACCTTATATAGAGATACGTGGTATTAATTCAAGATCGGTCCAGCCGTTCTTGAATTCAAAAAATAATAAAGTTACGTCGGTTAAATGCAAGCCTAAATAAATGAAATATATCAACGTTTTTTCATGCTGTCAAAAAAAGTTGGGTTATGTTGTTATGTAATGTGAATGAGTTTGTTTACAATTAAATTAATAATTAATTCAAAATTAATTTCTTTTTCCGAGATGCGTAACCTATCCACAAACCTTCCTTGGGATGGCCATAATAACCTACCAAAGTTTCATCGTAATCGGATAAGTGGTTTTAGAGCGCATATTCGGATACCCCGTGAACTTTGATTTTTATATATATAGGTAACAGTATTGTTGGTTATTATTATTTTTTTAAATCTTGAAGGCAGAAATTAAAAGAAAAAAACGCAGATTATTTGAATTTTGCGCCATATTTTTGCACAAATCAAAAATCACTGTTTGCCAAATTTCCATGTTCCAAACAAATCCTTTTTTTTTTTCTTTTTTAATACATCGAACGAAAAAGGAGGCATATAAATATCAAAATCGCTTTGTTTTCGACAATTTTGTTTTCTTGTCTAAATACGAATTAGATCCGGCACAGTATAAAATACGAAAACGATAAAAGGGATTTTTATTTGTCATGATGATTTTTGTTTACTATAGGTCAGTGACCTCTGGCCAATTTACGAAACAAAATAATCAATAATTACCAACAAAATACAGCAGGCTGGGGCTGCTACTGAACAAACCAACACCAGTCAAGTCCCTAACACTGGGGGATTATTCAAAATAAACCAATAAACGGTTCCAAAAGGTAATCCGGAGTAAACTTTGTCCGGAGTCACCCTAAGTGTAGTTTGATTTTGAAAAAAAAGGAAAAAGGATGTTTTTGCCTGTGAAAATGTAAAAAGCTAGGCCGGTGTTCAGAGCTGTAAGAAAAAAGTATCTTAGTTACTTTACAGTATCTTAGTTACTTTATAGTATCTAAGATACTGTATCTTGAATACTTTTCATTTTTGGCAAAAGTATCTAGTATCTTAATTACTTTTCAGAAGGATCTGTAACTTGTATCTTAAAAAAGTATCTTAGATACTGAAATTGACCTATCTAAGTTAACGAAAAGTATTAAAGTTACTGTGAAAAAAGTTCCTTCAGACGTTCACCAAACCCCACACAACAAGATGGAACTGGTTCAAACTACTTCAAACAGCATCAAACTTACGTTTTATGTATTATTCATTTGTACTCACCCACCGCTCTGTGGAGAGACTTTTACCGTCTAGCTCTAGACAAGCAACAAGACTATCTCTATACTAGCAAGACAAAGCAAGCAAATAGCCTTTGGATAGAAATCAAATCAATTTTAATCATAAGGTAGCAGACAAGAAAACCAACACGACTATCGTCATAGTCATACCACTTATTTAGCTATGGTATGTGACGTCACAACTTCCCCTACTTTGGTAAAAACCGCGACAGCAGAAATGCATTGGTTAAAACCAAATAATAATCATTCCAGACTGAAAATCGCCTTTCAACCACAGTTTAGTTCATATTTTACCTTGAGGTAGGTGGCATTAATGACATTTGAAATCTGTCAGTTGTGTACTCTCATTGGTTGATTTTTTGAAATTCGTCTGCAAAGAGAAACAAAACCTCACATCAGAATTGGCTCAAAATTTGCATAAACATTCTTTGATCGGTCATCTAGAATCCAAATATATCAGTTTTTCAATATTTTGAGAATCCTTAGAAATAATCCATAACGACTATAGGCAACCAAATATACACTTTTTATTTCGAGAAAAACGGAAATTATCGAGAAAATAAAATATCCGGATTATAGATAAGCAATCAAAGAATGTTTATGCCAATTTCGATGTGAGCTTTTTTTTCTCTTTGCAGACGAATTTTTTAAAAATCCACGCAGAACTGACAGATTTCAATGTCATTAACGCCCCTTCAAGTGCGCTCTTACGTATTTCTAATTATTTATTTGTATTTTGTTAAAAGGCTCTACATTTTGTAATAATCAGTTATTATGTACTTTTGAAAATAAGGCTGAAAATAAAAATAAGTCTGCCCCCTCCAAACGTTTGGTTGCCCCCTCTGAAATCAAAACCTAGCTACAGGCCTGGTTGGGTAACACCGGCTTTAGCCTTGAAGAAACTGGTATCGAATAGGTACAGACTCATAAAAATTATACTTCTGTTTTATTTCCCATAATCCACTTAGAAGAAAAATAACAATAATTTTAATAGTTATTTATATAGGTACCTATTTCAGTGCCGAAATTAAAAATGTAAAATTAAAACTCACAACACAACACTAGGTATTAGTAAAATGCAGGTAGAGCAAGCTTCCCTGAACAATGATTCCCATATTGCCTATCGGCTAGAAACTTCTAAAAATTTAGAGGCACACACTAGAAAATGAGTACCTATTTAATTATGAACAATGACATAATGGCCTTAAGGGGTTAAGCTTGGAGTTATGGTTTATTTCTTGATGGTTTGTGTGCTTTTGTGCCGTCTGCCTGTTATGGAGTTTTGGAGAGGCTAATAAATAAAAATAAATAATGATTTTTAATGAATTAAAAAGTTGGGTTAAGTTTTTCATATCGATTCCATATTCTGATACTTACAAATCTGTGGATTCGATATATCGATTTAGTTATCGCTGTCAGGAATAGTTTACATGAAATCCATGACATCGGCGCAACACTGGATAAAATTGACCAATCAGAAATTTGGTGCCGCGACGTCACGGCACCAAGAAATTTGAACTTCAAATCAAAATTTAGAGCTTTTGCAAGTCCGAAAAAAATCGGAAAAAAATACAGTTGAGCTTAATTTTGACTCCTCTTTCCAATAAGCAAACCCCTCGTTTTTATTCTCATCGGTGACTTCACCGATGAGTTAGTGAATGGCAAATAACAATAACGGCCATAGAATGGTGGATGCATCGATAAAATTTGATGAGAATAAAAACGCAGGGAAATAAAAAAAATTCATGCAAAAAACGTCAGATTGCATAGATTTCACTGGTTAACCGGCCATCATCGGTTCTTGGCCATTTTTTCGTTTAATGTTGATGAATAAGAAAACCCTAGCACGTATACCTATTTTCGATGCTTATCTGACTCTCTGTATCTTTCTCGCACTCATATTACCTTGGGTGTGGTTGGGGGTGCAATTGGTTTAGACTTGAAAAATCATTTAGTAGAGGTCTACTCAAGTCGCGAGTACGACGTTCGTTATTCTTGAAAAGTGCTTAAGTGATGTTTGAACAGAAAATAGTAAGTATTTCAACATTTTTATGTTAGAAATGTATGGAAAGTGTTTTTACTTGTAGGAATATATTTTACCTTTATAATTTAATGAGAAAATCTTATTGAAACTATTTTTTTTTTCATGAAATTTCAGGCGGCCGGAAAGTAGTATTGAAAAAAATACGTATTTTAGTTCTCGGCCATGTGGCCGAGAATCATATACTCGTTCAATGTTTCTATTTTGATTTCATTCAGATTACGTACATAGTTAATACATAATTTTTTTTTTAAAAGGTATGTATATTTGGATATCTTCTCTTTATATATTAGTTTGCGGCCGTCAAATATTACATAAAATAATGTTTGTTTCGAACTTTAATTTTCATAAATATTCAGGGGCCGAGAACTACCTTATTCGGCCACTACTAAAGAGAACCCATGGATCCATATATTTTGTGTGCTTCAATTGTCGGCCATTATAAAATTCCTGATTGCATGTTCAATGGAGTAGGTATCTATACCACCTACCCTACTAAAGTACCCACCATTTAAGATAACTCACACACCTAAACAATTTTGCTAAAAGACAACTTTAATTTTTTTTCTGCCTTTTTTAGTGATCCCACAAAAAAAGTGAGTGTTTCAGGAAAAAAACAACTGTCAGACCCAAAGCAAAAGCAGTAGCTAAACGAACCCTGTTTCAATATTCTAAAAACGATTTAAAAAAAGCTTTACATGAATTTCGAAGCAACAATATTTCAGTTCGTTAAGCCAATAGAAGGTATAAAGTCCCGAGAACAACACTTCAAGACCGGCTTACTGGTCGAGTTCCTGATGAGCTGAAGAAACCAGGATCACAGCCTCTATTAACTGAAGAAGGCGAAAAAAAGTATAAAGAATGGGTAATTAACCTTTCTAAATGTGGATTTCCCATTAAAAAGGACATGTTGTTGGAGACTGTATCAAAAATTAGTTCAGAATCTGGCCTGAACTTATATAAAGGAGGAATGCCGAAGCAAACTTGGTACTCTAACTTCATGAGAAGAAACCCAGAAATCTCTTTGAGAGAAGCAGAAGGCATCAATAAAGATCGTACAGTTGTGACTGAAGAAGCTATTAGAAAATGGTTCCTGGAATTGGATGATTACGTCGAAGAAAATCATCTAGAAGACTCTCGAAGAATTTTCAATGGAGATGAATCCGGTTTTTCACTTTGCCTCAAATCTGGTAAAGTTCTCGGCCCAAAGGGGTTCAAAAATGTGTTCAGCGTTCAACAAGAAAATGCGAAAGAGACAGTTTTAGTAGTGTTTAACGCTGACGGAAAATTTGCTCCACCATTGGTTCTATTTCCGTATGTAAGACCGCCTAGAGCGGTAGTTGATAACATGCCAAATGGATGATGGGTTCTAGGCAAATCCGAGAAAAGCTGGATGACATCAGACGTCTTCTTCGAATACCTGTGTTACGATTTTAATAACTAGTTGTTAGCAGAAAACATTGTAAATGGACACAAATCCCATCTAACAATGGCCACCAGTCAATGGTGTGACAATAATCAGATCATTCTGTATGCTTTGCCACCAAACACCACCCATATATGTTGCAGCCGGCAGATGTTAGTGTATTCAAGCCCATGAAAGCTGATTGGAAGAAAATTGTAAGAAAGTGGCCAAGTAAATCTGAAAATTTCAATGCTTGCGTAACAAAAATAAATTTATTCCTGTACATACAGGAATCTGTTTTTTTTTTTTAATTGATAGTTTGAAATTGGAATAAGGCGACGTTCCGTAAGTTAACCAAGATTCTTGGTTTTTCCGGTTCCCGTTCCGTGACCTAACCACTCCTGAAATCTGGTTAGGTTATGAAACGCGGTTTCTGAAAAATTCGGTCCCAACTGTCAACCGAATCTACCGATCAAAAATATTTGGTTGTTTCGGTTTGTTATCAATTTCTGATATTTGTTTGTTAGGTTATGTGATAATTTTTAAATTTTTTTTAAAATTTTTTTTCCGCTTTCGAAGTGTATTTGTGGTGAAAATGGAACAAGCGATAAATATAGCATTCATTCCTGACGATTGCTTACTACAAATAGATTAAGAGGATAATATTCTATCATCTATAGCATCCAAGCCAAACCAAAGCTGAACCGAAGGGTTCCACACATAAACCGCATTTTCAGGAACCAGACTGATACCCATAGACGAACCGCTTCATACCGATCTTTACCTCTGGTTAAGATACGGAACGCCGCCTACCAATAGAAACCTGGTACGTCATGACAATATCCTTGCGTCATGACGTCATTTTCATTATTGACCTAGGTATTTTTTCATTATTAACCTAGGGAGAGAAATTCAATTTTTTCCTAGAAAAATGGATTGAATAATGACTGCTTCTCAGGTTAGTAGTAAAAAAAATAATAATATCGTTATGTCGGATTCACTTGAGCCGATAATTTTTCCCCAAAAAAACAATAATATCGTTATGCCATTAAGAATACCCCCACTGCAATTGTATATGCAGAGTCTTCTACGTCGAAATGCCACCCCTGCCAAAATAACAGAGCAGTGCAAGTTAATCAATTCCAATACTGGATCAGTTGTTGTCAATAATGACGATAGTTTATTATTCGAAATCCCGGATTGTATTGGAAGTTCTTTCACTGAGTCATTTATTAACACTCTTACGTGTGATATTCGCGAGCGGAGTTTCGCGAAAACAATGATAACACGAAAGATATACCTGAAAGACAGGAACAAGGAATGGTAGATATTGCAGATGATGATATTGTTACAATTGAACTAGAATGGATTGATGAACAAGAAAATGATAAAGGCGACTATGGAATACTTGAATACGAAAGGAAATCAGAGATTGGAGATAACAAAGAAGCGGGACAGGAAAAAAGACTTGTGAATATTGCAGATGATGATATTAATGCAATCGAAATAGAATGGATTGAAAAACAAGAAAATGATAAAGGCGACTATGAAATAGGTGAACAAGAAAGGAAATTAGAAATTGGAGATAACAATAACAACAGTGAGAGTAAAATAATTCAAGAAAAAGAAAAGATACACATCATAGACAATAATGACAGCGAAACACGCAAAAGTGATGAGAAAACAGAAATTCAACAAGAAACTGAAACAGTTTTAGTACATAAACTGATCGTAGACAGAAAAGTGGAAGACTAACTCCGACACTAAAAGAAATATTTTCGAATCATCTAACATATCCAGAGCCCACTAAGCGTAGTAAAAATACTAACAGACCCAAAAACGAAAAAGCGCCATATGCGATTAGTAGCCATAAATGACGACAATATTACAAAGTGGAAGACCAAGAAAAATTACAAAAAAGATTAAATATAGAAAAACGCAAGAAAAAGCGAGAAGATCTTAAGGAAATCAAATAAAATAAATTATTCAAAACAAAAAAAAAACAATAGGCAAAGTCACCAATACTGCAAAGAAAGAAAATACGGATGCAGTTAGAAAAACTCCTAGGAAAATCCCTTGTGCCTTATGTAAGGATATTCTGAACAACGATACAGAAGATGAGGATAAAAAAAATATAGGATGCGATTATTGCGACAATTGGTATCACAAGAAATGTACGGAGTTTTACGATACTTCTTACGCAATGGACGTTTCTCATGCAATGAACAACAAGGATAATTTATTAAAATTTCTGTAATAAGGAAAGAGACACACATAGTGACGCACGATACCTGTGTGGAATGACTTTGATTGGTTCCACTTGTCAAATTGTGGAATTTCGGTTATGTTTCTGTTTTTGTTTATTTTTGACCGTGAATATGACAAATATGTGGGGAAAAAGTTTAGAAAAGTTTGAGAAGTACGAATTTGCAAGTGCTAGCAAACCTTTAAGTTTACAATTATTATTGTATTTGATATAGAAATCGTTATTTCACGAACCCTCAAGTCTCTGTTCCAACTTAAATCGTCTTCACTCAGGTTGAGAGCATGTAACCATTGTTTTCTTAAAATTTGATTGCTTGGGAACCCACAAGCTGCGCGCGCAGTACAGGTGAAATGAGAAAGGTCCATTGCTGATGCCAAAGGCTATAAATGTAATTTTTGTTAATTTATTTTTTTTATAATTTCTGTTGATTTATTTTATAAGTGTTCGTTTATTGGAATACCTACCTACCTGATTTGGCAAAATGCCTCAAGAGGTTACCTGATTTTCCCTATTTTTGGCTTAGGATCTAAGTTTTTTTTTTTTTTTCAGAGTTGTTTTTTATTTTCTCTAGTCTTTTTATTCAATTTCTGTAGCGACTTTTCTTTTTTTTCTTAATAAACTAATGGAATTTGCATGGCCAAGAACCAAAAAAATTACGTTTTTTTAATACTTTTTTCCACATTAACTACACCTCCAAAGTTGATTTCTTACTTAGCAGGCCGAGAATCCGTGAAATGACCCTACCTTACAGTTTGTCAGAAGGGAAATATCAGAATCTGCCAGACAAAAGACACTTTTTCCACTAACTTGAAACTTCGAGAAAGAAATGCTAAGGACTAGGAGAAAGCTTTTTTGTGCTCTTCGCTTTTCTAAATGGAAAGTGGAATTTAATTTTGGACTTATTTAATGCATTTGGGAAGTCATAAAAATGAGTGTCGACTTCCTCTGGGTTGACATCATCCTAGATTTTACCGTTAATAGTTTTAAATATTGTGGAAAAAAAGTGGCCACGGATAAGAATTTGTTGTTGTAATTTAGCGAAAAATTTGATGATAAATGTAGAATTGTACTTTTTTTTTGGAATTAGGGGCAAGTTTAAATAGGTATCTCGGAATTCACTATCAATATAGATTTTCAGATTTTATTCTAAGAAAAAATATAATTATGTCCTCATTTTCATTTACTGTATGACGTTAGTGAATCAGAATACACGAATTCAAAAATTAAGTCATGTTACTTTTAATACTGGCATGACAATGATATAATTTTGGAATCAAAGCCAATAATACTAACCAGCGCGTTTTAAATAGTCTTTTCTTGCCAAAAATCTATAATTAGCTTCATGAATGATTTTCGTACTAAGCATTCTTTATTCAGAATTGCAAATTTTCTATTGATCAATTTTTCCAATAATGCTGAGCAAACAAATCCGAGTTAGCGGCCTTGTTATTGGATTGGCAATTTTTACTATTTGCAATTTGCAATTTCATACTTTTGTTTCTTGTTCGCTATTAGTCATTACGTTACGGTTGTTTGCTCTTTATTTGATAGCTATAGGTAACGAGATTTTATTTTGTTGCAGCTTGTTTGAACAATACATTTTGGTATTTGTTACACGTAGTTAAGTTTTAATTTAATTATTTTGTTCTACTGTTTACTATTAAAATTTACTATCCATGCTATTTTGTATCCTCCATGAAAGCCAGCCATCAGGAAATTTTATACAGCAAAAATCATATGTCAATAATTGAAATCAGATAAGAAATATTACCTATACAAATATATAATCATCAGGCATTAGGAGCTGATCGCTTAAGAACTATACATACAATCCAAACCTTGATAATCTAGGCAATAGAAAGCTCAAGTCCTATCAAAATCAGCAATCTTTTGAAATGTCTGATTGATTGAGTCACATTTTTATAATGCTAATAATTACTTCATAAGGCTAATGAAGCCAGTAAATTGGTATATCTGAAACTATTTAGCTAGAACAATAACTCAAATCAGCTTGATGCATTATTGGGTGAACTTTACTCTTATCAAGCCAAATTTGGTACAAAATAATCATTACCTACCTTCTGTTGCAAAATATATCCTTTTATTCCATTATGTCCGCCCACACTATCTGCTTTGCTATGCAAAATGCGACCTACTAACAAAACTCCATAATTTCAGTACCGCGGCACTAAAACCGTTCGCGCGCTATAAGTTAGTACCTACTACTTTCATGAACAAAATAAATGAACTAAATATACGAAAAATCTGCCGCTATGGTACTACTCGCTGGCTCTGTTCACGATGCAAGCGATTATAAAATAAAAGCTTGAAATTTGTAATGGGATGTCGGCCAATCAACGTGCGGAGGAGAAAGCAACGCTGGAGATCATGAAGCTAAAAATAATGTTTGTCTGGTTCGGAGGTATTGGATTTCTCTCTCATCTGGTGATGTGCCTTTAAGTTTGTCAGTGGAAAATTCTATACATATTTTGAACTAGTGTTATTTGAATTCAGACCACATTTTCGAACTAAGTTTTTAATTTGTTGATGAACTCTAATGAACTCTGGTTTTTGTCTATGACGATTGCATTCAGTGTCTTTCGATGAGTATTCATTTACATATTACATTATCTGACCCACCTGACCTAATTTTCATTTTTCTAATATTTGTTTTGCTATTCAGTGCTTATCGATATAATTTTTTCAAATTTTTTTCGTAGATTCCCTTTCATTTCTGCATTTCTTATTGGGTTTCTTGACTCAGCAAGACTAAACAACATAAGACCTATAAAAAAAATATTTACCATAGAAGATATATTTTTCTTAGAGAAGTTCTCTAAGAAAAAAATAAAAATTAGTGTAGAAAACCCAGGCACACGGGAAAAGGGATAGTACAGTCGTGAGCATTGAAAATGGGAAACTTAATACTACAATTGGACCTTGTATATCTCTGATTCTCACCTGGTGAGCCAGTGTTAAAGTTCTTTGCTCTAGTGTTCTCAATGATACAGGGCTCTGCAACAATACCATCGTCATCAGTTCCAAAATTGAAAGATTCATGTTTATAGGGTATTCTGCTCTAAACCAGAATCACCGCGATTAATTTGTCTACTTGATAAATCATGTTGAATTTCTGAGCTGCGTAAATGATAGTATTGCGCCTTAAAACACTAGAACCATTATTAATCAAGTAAGACATTGGGGCCTCATGCTTGGATAGTATAGTTGCTGGACGCCACTGATTTACATCCCTATACACAACATTTTCACCTTCTTTTAAGTCTGGCCTTTCCTTTTTATATAATTTAGTTCTATTTTCTAATACATTCCTGAATTCTTCGATTTTAAAACTGGGTTCGTCAAGCAAAGGTTACTTAGTTTTCAATTTTCTAGAAAACAAGAGATCAGCAGAAGACCTTTTAGGATTTGTAATAGGCGTGTTACGATACTTCATCAAAGCAACCCACAAATCATCTGATTTCCGAATAATGTTTTAAGCTATTTGCACAAATCTTTCAACAAGTCCATTCGATCGCGGATATCTTGGGCTACTTGTCTGAAATTTAAATTCAAACTCATTCGCAAAACATTTACATTCATACGAATTAAAAGGCATATCTGACACTATAACATCAGGTATTCCATGTGTCGCAAATATTTGTTTCAAAACACTAATAACATGGTGAGACTGTTTCAGTTCTAAAAACATAATTTCTAAAATCATCTACAATTACTAAATATGATTTTCCACCATAGTCCATGATGTCACAACCTAACTTTTGGAAAAGTAACTAAGGAATATTATGTGATATAACTGGTTCTCTTACATTAGCATATCTATATCTTTCACACAACTGACACTGCCAAATTTCCTTATCAATATCTATTCTCATTCCAGGCCAGAATAATACACTTCGTGCCCTATCTCTCGAGTTATGCCAAAATGACCGTCATGTAGGTAATACTTTTAGCATATTTTTACGCAATAATTGAGACTCAATACTTTATCCTTTATGGTTTCTTTTTGTCTTTCACCCATTCGCAAATATAGTCAGTTGAGAAATACCATTTCTTCCATAGCCTCATCATCTTCCGTCATTCCAATCTGCAATACATAAATACCTCCCAGGCTGACAACAAACTTGTAAATCATATCTTAACAATTTTAACTTCAACCTCTATAATCGGGGCGAGTTTATTGAGGATATCTGCTTGTTCATAACACTTACATTCGGTTTGTGATCAGCTAAAATTTTAACAGGGCGGCCATAAATAAAATTATAAAATTTTTGACAAGCATACACAATTCCCAACAGTTCTTTTCCAATGATTGCATAGTTTTTTTCAGTTTCTGTCAAGCCTCCCGATGCAAATGCTACTGGTTTACCTTCTTGCATTAGGCAACATCCAAGTCCATGTTGTGATGCATCTGTTTGTATAACAATATCTTTTTTGTAGTCAAAGTTTTTTTATGTAATATTTTTATTCAATACAAGTTTGATGTCTTCAAGAGGTTAATTATTTACGTCCAACCACTGATGCACAATTTTTTTTTAAGTAGCTGACAAAGTAGATTTACAATTTCCCCTAAATTCGGAATAAACTTTCTAACATAATTTAACAAGCCAAGCAGTCTCTGCAACTCTTTCTTATTGGATGGTGCTTTAAGATCATTGATGGCCTTAATTTTGTCATTATCTACTTTCATACCCTCACTATTAAAAATATGCCTCATGTATTTCACTTCACACTTTCCCAATTGCAACTTATTTTTGCTAAATCCCCTACCCTTCTCTCTTGCTCTCTGTAACATCATTCTCAATGTCTTGTCATGTTCCTCCATAGTATGTTACAAGCTACCAATAAATCATCAAAATATATGATTACCAATGTAGTATTTTTTTAATTGTTTGGGTAGGATCGGAAATACTACATTGAGAACCTACTCGGATCGACAAAACCACATTATTGTATATATGATTACATTTTCAATATCCCAAAATGTTTACAATTTATTCTCTGAAAATACTCAGGTGCCAAATTTAAACCAAACAGTAGTCTCAAAAATTTGTAACAACCAAATGGAGTGGAAAATGATGTTGAGTAACTAGACTCCTTATCAAGCTTCACTTGATAAAACTCATCTTTAAAATCAAGTACAGAAAGACAATTTTTTCCTGAAAACTTAGCACTAATATCTTCCAAGCTTGGAATTTGAAAGTATTGTCTTTTTATATACTCATTTAAATCCTGTGAATCCAACCAGTCTTAAGGATGTATCTGGTTTTTCAATTATAACCAGGTTATTAACCCACTCATCGGCTCTATCTAATTTCTCTATTTCTTCCTGCTGCTCTAATTTATCTAATTTTTGTTTTAATCTTTCATAGCTAAAGGAACGCGACAAGCAGGTCTAGCCACTGATATGCTGCCCTGGGACTATGCAACGAATAGAGATATTTTCTCTATCTCTATTGACGTCCCATCTCTATTGATTTCGAAAAGAGGGAAGAAGACAGCAAGTGCCATAGCCCATAGCAATATAGATGACGATCTCTATCCGTTACATAGTCCCAGTGCTGTTTTATTTTAGTTCAATTTTACAAGTATCTGAAAAAGTGCCTATACCCTCGAAAACATCACTATATTCACTGATTAATTTCTTATTTATATTTGAATTGTAATTAATATTCTGACTAACCTCTTCCACACTGCAAACCACCCCAAATACAACAAATCACAAGAATTCAAACACATTCCTAACCTAATTTTATTTGTCTGACCAAGAAGCGACATATTGTCTGGCTAGCCAAACGGCGAACTGCAATAGAATTTGCTGCTCTGTCAGACTGTACGGAAAAAATAATAAACAAGTTGGTGACATATTTTTTTTTTGCTTTATGGACATGTGTAGTATTTTGAAATAGAAAAGAATCCGGCAACATTGCGAAATGATGGATGTGGAGAGGCGTGATTATTCAGAGGCATGATTCTATTGGTTAGAGCCTAAACGACAGCACGCAGTGGCGTAGTTATTGGCAAAACTAGAGAATTTTTTTTCTTATAATTTTATTGGTTTATTTTCTTGGTGTTTTCAGTGCCACTGAACCCAAAGACATGGCTGTCATCAGGCGGTGTCAGCTGAGGTGTCAGTGAATATTTTTATGTTACGTCCCACTTTTCTTCCCCCTTTCGTCTTTATCAAGTTACCACTTGCCAGACTATACAATTCACTAGAACATGAATAGAACGACAGGTACTTCCAAATAGGCATTAAAAATTACTATACTCACACCATATATCCATTATTACATCTGAGCGAACTGTCATTGTCTGCAACAATGAGGAATTCCTTAATGAGGAAGGAAATAGACAGAATTAAGACAGATTACATGAAAAATAGTTCTTAAACCAACTTGTCGACAAATACCCATGGGATCCAAGACAGATCTAGCACAGCCAATCACAAGATTACAAAAGACAACAAGAAATATGGAACTTGCATGAAATAACAATTATTACATTTTATCAAATAAATAAAGGGTACAGATGTGAATAAGGATATTTTCGCCAAATTTTTCGAATTTATTCAAAAATACAATCTTTATGATTTTTTAAAAATGATGTGGCCGTCTCTGTCTTACTTGCACTGACTTATGGCGATACTACTAAATGACGTCACATAATCAAGTTCCCTATTTCAAATGACCCTGGATTTCCGCTTAAGGTAGGTACTTCAGAAAATCAGACAGAATGTTGCAAAATATGTCTCAACGAATCAAATCTACAAATCGGTTAGAAGCCAAATCTCCAAAACACGCCCTAGGAATGGTACATCGAAACCGAAAACTCTATTTGCGAATGTGGCAAACCCATCAGTGATCTTTGAAGGCGAATGCCTATTTTAAGAACACAAAAAGAAGAAAAGTAGATTTTAACGATGTTATCTGTAAGAACATATTGGCGCGGTTTCCGGGTTCACAAAACTCACTTGGACAAACAGTTACACCTTTTATTAGGAAAACTACTTGGAACAGCATAAATACTCAAGTATTTTACTTACAATTTTTTATTGAAATGCGTTTTAATTTTATTAATAATTTTAAACTATATTTTTTGACTTTATTTTCCTCTACAGAATGGTAAGTCATTTGTTACATTCATAGTCCTTATAATCTTCAATTTTTCAAGCTTAATAATACTAAACTTAGTTCTTATTTGTAGCATGATCTGGCGACCTAAAAAACACCAGCATTTTAACATTTGAGCAAATTTGCCTCCTGATCTCGAAACATGTACCTACTGCTCATTGAATTTAT